CGTTCGGCCGGGCAAGACTTGATTTCCTCGAGTTGTGCTCAGTCGAAGGCAGGGATTTTGGTTCTGGGGAATAGAAGGCGGTGTTAAAGAGTAGCTCGTGGGCAGGTGCTGTGAGGGAAGCTCCTGGTTTTCGTCTGAGTTTTGCTCTCGAATAGGGAGAATTGGATTGTGTAGCAGTTGGTAGAGGATGTAGAATAGGGTTTTAAAGGTTGTAGAGATGTTTCAAGCACAGCTTGTGGGGAGGAATTAGGTACTATGGAAGGGTTATCGGGTCTTGGTCAACTCAGTTATTGACGGGTACACCCGAGATGCGTTGCCGTAGTAAAGTCTTGGCGAAGGGTTTTGGTCTCTCCTTCTTTGGGATAGCGCACATGATCTGCAGGGATCCCATGCCATTTCGAAACTTGCGAGCGTAAGCGAGAATGCCACACAAAATTTCGTGCAAAGCCCGCTTTCTGATCATCTAGCATCTCTGCTGAAGGTTGAGGACGACAACTTTGTCGAGGTAAAGCTGACAGCTTCTCTATACTACATTATGCTAGGCATGTCATCCACGGAAGCTGACACTCTAACACCAGGCCATCATGCAGATCTTCGTCAAGACCCTCACGGGTAAGACCATCACACTCGAGGTTGAATCGTCGGACACCATCGACAATGTCAAGGCCAAGATCCAAGGTAAGCTCAACTAGTGTATCTCCTAGACCATTCCCATCGCTGACCACTCTCCCAGATAAGGAAGGTATCCCACCCGACCAGCAGCGCCTGATCTTCGCCGGCAAGCAACTCGAAGACGGCCGCACGCTCTCCGATTACAACATCCAGAAGGAGTCCACTCTCCATCTCGTTCTCCGCCTACGTGGTGGAGCCAAGAAGCGCAAGAAGAAGGTGTATACTACTCCCAAGAAGATCAAGCATAAGCGCAAGAAGACAAAGTTGGCTGTGCTTAAGTACTACAAGGTGGATGGAGATGGCAAGATCGAGCGCTTGAGGAGAGAGTGTCCCACGCCTGAGGTAATATCTGTACAGTATACACAGGAGGCTGTTGAAGCTGATATGAATAGTGCGGAGCTGGTGTCTTTATGGCTGCCATGCACAACCGCCAATACTGCGGCAAATGCCATCTCACCTATGTGTTCGACGACGCGGGCAAGAAATGAGTGGATAGATAGAATAGGAGATCTCAGCTTTGGTATTTCAGCATAGCTCGTGTATGTTAATAGTCTGCAAGATAGAAATCAAGATCTGTGCTCCGAGGGATTTGCCTCCTTGATGAATGGGAAGAGCCATGTCTAAAGCTTCACTGTGTTTCACTTTCGAAACATGGAGTCAGCCACCCAGCCACCAAACTGTCCATGTTTCATGTTTGTGTACGAAGCTTATGTCAGGAATAGTTCAATTTTCACTCATCGAACCACTGGAGCTTTTGTGTCATGAAAGGCCCTTTGGAGGGAAATTTGATATTTGCGCTGTGCCGTCCCTCGACAGTCTAACATACTTGAACGTATTCAAGGCCGTCCACTCCCCATTCCAAGCTTGTAGTATTGCCAGATTGTCTTCGTACTGCATATCTGGTATCCAGAACCCTGAATCGTATTCCCTCTCCTCCGCCGCCATCGACTGTTTCAGTAGATCTTCTCGGGTACTCGAAGGCCGCCCAGGTCTTCGCTGGCTTTTAAGCTCTGCGAGCTCTTCGTCATGGCGACTGAGGTATCTACTAGCAGTCAGCACAGCGTCGTCCATAAACTTGGTGATTGATGGACCTTTGAATAAGACCATGAATCTTCTCCACTCCAATTGGGCCTGTAGCTGCCTTCGCTGCTCCTTGGAAGTAGGCTACCCTTTGCACTGATGACCATTAGTTCCTTCTCCACCCAATCCCACGATCTGTAACATACTATGAGGTTGATTCACCTTCGCTCTTGCTGCCGCAAGCCTCTCCAGCTTCTCCCCTCTTGCGCCTGCCCTCCGTAGTTTCTGAGCATCCCTGCTGTTCTCATGTAAGCTGCTGATCTTTCCCTTCTTCTTCGAAAGCTTCTTCTGCACTTTCGCTAAGCTTTTCGGCATCTTGAGTACTCTTGAACTTCGCAACCCCAACTTTGAAAGTTGAGAAAGAATTTGGTGGGGCAGCGGAACTATCTCCGCGTTCGAAAGCCTTCAAACCGCGACGCGTGTTGGCGATATTGACCTTTCAATTGCTTATCCTTTGCCTTGTTCATAAATCGTTGCTTTCGGTATAACGAGTTCATGAGACACGATCTTGAAAAATCTGAGTTCTGGGGCGGGATAGAGAGTCTGCTGACCCCGAATGGAGAAAGTAAACAGAGGGAAACGGGGACGCTGATCCTATTGCTCGAGCTACTGCTATCGCTATGGGTATCTCTGGTAAGTTGCAAAGGGCTGAAGGTTGCAGAAATCTACTGAGACATCATATAGGCTTGCTCCCGCTCTTGAAGTCCATTCAGAAGCCCTGCAATCTCAAGAAATTTGCGGGTCAGACGATTGGAGTAGATGCATATGGATGGCTACACAGAGGCACAGTGGCATGTGCCATTGATCTTGCTTTGGGCAAACCAACAACGAAGTACGCTCATCGAAGTGCCCAAAAATCGAGCACCGCTAACCAAATATAGATATGTGGACTTCTCGATGCATCGAGTACGAATGCTTCTACACTTCGGCGTAATTCCGTACATCGTCTTTGATGGAGACTACTTACCAAGCAAAGCAGCGACAGAGGTGGAGCGGGCCAAGAGAAGGGAAGAAAGCAAGATGAAGGGACTCGAATTATATCGGCTCAATAAACCCTCTCAAGCACACCTTGAGCTGCAGAAGGCGGTCGACGTTACCCCAGAGATGGCACGACAGCTGATCGATGAGCTTAAAAAGATTGGAGTACAATACGTTGTCGCACCATACGAAGCCGATGCACAGCTTGTCTACCTGGAGCGACAGGGTATTACACAAGGCATGCTGTCTGAGGACTCAGATCTTTTGGTCTTTGGCGCTAAACGCCTCTTGACGAAGCTGGACCAGTATGGCGACTGCGTTGAAATAAATCGAGCCGACTTCACCGCCTGTCGAGAGATCAGTCTTGTTGGATGGTCAGATGCTGAGTTCCGTCGTATGGCTATACTAAGTGGATGCGATTACTTGGCAAGCATCAACAGAATGGGCTTGAAGTCTGCTTACCGCTTTGTTCGGAAGTACAAGACCATTGAGAAGATCATTCAGATGCTGCAATTCGATGGTCAATACTATGTTCCAACGGACTATCTTGAGAAATTCTACAAGGCCGAGCTGACCTTCCTCCATCAACGAGTGTTCTGCCCGCTAAAGAATGATGTTGTTATGATGACGGATCTTGGGATTGAAGCACAGCCAGAGGACTTCTCCTTCATCGGTCACGAAGTAGAGAAGAACGTTGCCACTGGAGTGGCCAAGGGGGACCTTGACCCTATGACGAAGCAGCCAATATACGTCAGAACTGCAATGCAGGGCACCCCGAAGACGCTTTGGGGTAATCCTCGCAGAAAGACGGTCGACTCCTTTCTTGATGGAAAAGAGAACAAATCGATAGAGTTATTCTTCAAGGCCAAACGAACTCCCCTGGCAGAATTGGACCCCAACAGCTTCACACCCTCACCTACACAAGCGCGACTGTTGCAGCAGGCCAATGGGACCACGTGGGAGTCGAGCCCGGCACCAGCTGGACCTCCAAGTCTTCGGTCCAGTGTCTCGATGCCCTCGTCGACATCTCGACCCGCGTTATCTTCCAGGGTCCCACGGTCTATAAACGCGGCTTTGACAGGACCAGCTCCTCCAAAGCGTCGAAGACTCTGCCTTGAGCCAGAAGACAGAGAAGAGCTAGGTAATGCAGTAACGTCGGATGCTGGACGGAGCCGGTTCTTCACACCTAACATAGTGGATCCTAGTCCTTCGGTGAAGCATAGCCGGACGAATAAGAGAGGCAAAGGGGCAGATATCACCATCTGGTCTGATGACTCTGTGGAGGATGTCATGGCTGGGTTGCCAGACGTATTCGAAGGTCCTGAGCAATCAAAGAAAGGAAGGCTTGAAATCTTCAAAGATGACTGCCAGGAGAAGGTTGAGGATCCTATCTGGACTGAAGTTCAGAATGAAGAAGTGGTAGGAGAGGATTCGCAGTCTTCCACTGGCTCCAGAGGAACAGTGACATCGAAAACGTCCACAACTACATCGACAACGAGTATAACCAGCTCAACGCCATCCGTTGCCCAAACTCTGAACAAACATGTTACTGCAGAACTCGCAGCTTTACCGGCGAAGTGGACATATCAGCCAGAGATAAAACGTGTGGCATCGAAGCGAAAGGAGATCCAGAATGCCAAAGTGGCAAGTCAGCCTGCCAGCGCCATTCCAATGCCAACCAAGCCTCTCCTTCAGAGGCAGCGAAGTTTGACACCATTGCAAAGACTCGGCGTCGGGGCGCTGAATAGATCGAAGTCTTGCGGTGGACTTCTCGGCAGTGCTGTCAATAGTCCCAGGATGGTCGACGATTTGATATCAAGCCAAGAGAGCAATACTCCTACGCAGAAATTACATAGTCTACCAATCGCTTACAGCATGGGACCTGACGCTTCGATCACAAAAGGCAGTGAAGACGCCATCATTCCAGATTCGGAGGAAAGTGCCGATGACGCTGCGTCGATATCTGAGGCCGAAGAGCATGCGAAGCCACAGATAAACCTTGGACGTTTTGCATTCAAGGGCTAGGTGTAGCGGTTTTGGAGCATTGGCATGGAGTTTTGGGGCCTGAGGGCATCGTTGGAATGTAGCACAGCGTGTGGAGTACAGGAAAAGGTCAGGGTTAGACGATGTATGAAGACTCTTTGAGTTGTAACGGATATCGATAGCTCTAGCATGCAATTCAAAGCATATTAAAGTTCATGTCGAATACAAAAACCTTTGCACAATCGTTTTATCGAATTATGCTCAGATAGGACCATTCCAAGAGATAAGACACTTTGGCCGAGTGGTTAAGGCGACAGACTTGAATCGGTTCTGATTTAGCCATCTGTTTCATTCGTGAGCGCAGGTTCGAACCCTGCAGGTGTCGGTTTTGTTTCTTTTTGTTTCTTTTTTCCATGTGTAGAGCGTGAAAGTCATGAGGGTGTGGTTTTGGAGGGGTTGCTGAAGTGGGGTTGATTTGGTGGCGGGCTCCAACCTACACTACTTTCGACGCAGCAAGGGACTTATGTCGAATAGTACTAAGTATAAATTGTATCAGGTATTATCCTTACATTGAGAATGGACACCAGCATGCTAACGAGATAATAGAAATTGGAGAATGTGAGGCTTCCTTATTGTCGAAACCGGTCACTGAAGTTTTTCAAATGATCTGGCAGGGCAAATCCCAACCCAGCTTTTTCCAGCATGAGTAACTAGCAAAAGTATAAGAATGGCTGATTGTAGGAAGCAGAAATACAGTACAAGGATGTGGGTGTTGTATACAAGATATGTGCCCAAGGCAGACTTGGTAAAGCGAGTCTATCTATAATGATGACCAGAACACCTTCCAAACCTTTGCTCCAAGACCAGACGCCGTAACGCAATGCAATGCAATGCGATGACAGGGCTTTAAGGATATTCTCAAGGAAATCCAAAACCGCCGGGGAACTGGAATCCTCCTCCTCCGCCCTGTTGAAACTTGAATTGACTACCGCTTCCTCCACCACCACCACCTTGCCTGAAGAAGAATTGCTGACCCCCGGCCCCCTGCCCAAACGGACTCCCATGGAACGGCTGTCCCTGCTGTTCAGGATTATTAGGATCATCGCCCCTATCAAACCTCGCCCGCAACTCCGGATCACCAAGGACCTCATACGCCTCATTGATACTCGCCATCTTCTTCGCCGCCTCTTCTTGAGGTATACCCTTTGCGGACGCTTTATCAGGGTGATACTCCTTCGTCGCTTTGCGGTAGGCTTTCTTGATAGTACGATCGTCGGCGTCGTTAGCTACGCCGAGCACTTTGTAGTAGTCTTTTGTTTTTGAGCGTTTGAGGAGGGTGTTGGCTTTGTGGAGGAGATCGGGGATCTTGGAGGCTGAGGGGTGGTGTTCTTTTGCTAGATTGAGGGTGGAGATAGCGGCTTCGAAGTCTTCGGTGTCGAGTTGCCTTTGAGCTTTGAAGAGGAGGGCAGAGAGAGAATGTGGATTGAATTCAAGGGCTTCGGTGCAGTAGGGTTCGGCTTTCTTCTTGTTGATCTAGAGAGACTGATGTTAGCTTATGTCTCGGATGTTATTAAGACAGCATAACCATACCTCTGAGTAACATTCGCAAGTCATGTCCACTATGCTGCTATAGAGTTCATCCGGAGCATTCTTGTGTATGTGACCTGCTTCCCTGCCTTCTTTGACCTCGTCTTTCACGTCTTGTAACAAGCCAGGATCCTCGCCTGTCGCCACCAGAAGCTTAACGGCACTATTGAATTGGCGCTTCTCTATCAATTTCGAGACTTGCTTCAACACTTTATCGATCTGCTTTTCCCGCTTGAAAAGCTTGCTGCAGGCCTTAGAGTCCGGATCCGATCGCAGGCATTTCCGCATCTGTTCGATACCTTTGTCCGTGTCGCCAACCGAATAAAACAACATCGACGATATCTGCATATGAGGCTCTAACGAGGATGGATTGATTTGTACAGCATGAGCCAGGTCGCTGACTCCCTCCAGCACTTCCCCCCTTTCGAAGCGACACCGCGCCCTCAGCTGCCGAAGACTCAAGGCCGTGCTCGCAACCATGATCGCAGTACCAGCGTGACCAACACATCCTTCCCAATCACCTTTCTTTTCGGCGTCGGAAGCCAGAGATGCTGCGCCCCATGCTTCCTCCAACTGTGCATAGTCTTCGCTTTCTGTTTTCTTGGCTTTGCTATAGTCGTCTTTCGCTGCCACCCAGTCTGCATTTCTACTTTTTATCTTCGCTCGTTGTAGCAATGCTCCTTCAAAATCAGGCCGTATTGCCAGCACTTTGTCAAAGTCCTGGCTCGCTTGCGCATTTCTCCCTAAAGAGAGGTATGCTGCACCGCGCTGGAAGATCGTGAGGTAATTCCTAGGATCTCGTGAGATGGCGGCATCGAAGTATGTAAGGGCGTCATTGGCATTGCCCTTTGCTAGGTTGGATTTGGCGGAAGATACGAGGGAGGCGATGGGCGTGTCGGAGGGTATTTCTGAGGGCGAGAGGCAAAAGGCAAGGGGGGCGGAGAGGAGGGCAGCCCCAAGGGCAAGGCTCGTTATTCGTATGATCATGGTGAGAGATGTGGTAAAGGAGAATTGCGCTCGAAACTCAGAAATCTCGGGATGTTGGCCAAAAGAAAAGGCGTAGTTCTACTGAAGCCAAGTGTTCTTGTCGATTTCATGGCGCCAGCGCCAAGCGTTGCGGAAACCTTCCGCCCTACATTCTCCCGACAGCCTTATTGACTCCTCTTGTCAATGTAAGGATTGCGTTCCTACGAGCCGATACTTGTCAAAGCAAATAAGATACTCACTAATTGTCGTCAAACTATCTAGGTTGGTCATGAAACAGTCAATTCTCCTTTGATAAAATCCGCTAATTCTTCCTTGTCATTCTTCAACAATCCCTCCACTAATCCCCTTTCACAAGCCTCAACATCTGCCTCAACATCTACCCCAACTACGGCAACGGCATATGGACAAGCCACGCCTCATCCACATACCCTTTCAAAGCCTCAACAAAGTCTGACCGTAAAAACTTATGACATTCTGCAGGCTGGTAGCGACAACGGTACCTGAGTAAGTACATCAAGCCTACAATGTGTTTCATAGCAACGCCGAAGTCTTTCAATCAGAAGACTTCTACATCTCTAAAAGATCATACCACGCTTGGGCAGTCTTGAATGCTCGATAGAATCGAATCTAGAGGAGGACTGTGCCGGATGATTAGGTCCTTTATCCGTTACTGCATAATGAGGTGCTAGTTTGTAGTTTGTCCCTTTGGCAGTGCCGTCTGAGATCCAAGATTAGCTACAGCCATTGAGACGGCCAAGAAGGGAGTTTACTGATCTCAAGATTGAGAAATTCCACCAGACAATGAGCCCAGACTGTGATTGCGACGATTTGTCCAGAGGTCCACTTGTTGCTGACTTCAGTCTGCTGGAAGGCCCCAGCGTAGAGGAAGAACTGAAAGCCAAAACAAAATGACCATGTGGTGGCGAAGGCACCCTGGTAGATGTGATTCCAGACCTTTCCTGTGAAAACAGAATGGAAGACTGTAGCGAATCTATGCTTGTGTGATTTGAAGGGAGTATAATCCATGGTGTATTTGATGAGGCAATACAGGCCCCAGCGATCGGAATTCGTCCACATCAACCATACGTATTGGCTAGCGGGTTGAACTTGAAATGAAGTATCACCAAGTCCACACCAGAAATCAAGCAACACTTCTAGATCTTGTCCTCCGCAGTACATGTCGAGGTTCCAGCCGTCCACATATTTGTCACTAAAGGTGGTGAGTGGCGAAATACTGAGTGATTGAAAGCTTTTGGACACACGCCAGAAGTAAACGAAGAACCCAGTGGACAACCCAAGAATAGAAAATGACAGCAAGATCAGGTACCAGGATTGCTTGCCATAGTGCGCGATGAGCGTCAACGTGAACATTACTGGAACGTATCCATTTGTGGACACTGCCCGTAAGATATTCACGTCCATGATATCAGGTATGGTTGATTGTGCAGAGATCTGCTGGGATACGACCAACTGATTGCCAAGAAAGAACATCGCAGCAATCTGGATAATGCCCGCAAAATAACATTGGTTCTTCTGGAACTCGATGGCGGCCACTACCAAGGCATGTGTGCCTCTTTGCTCTGTGCTTTTTCCTAAATGGCCAGACTTTGAAGAAGAGTAAGTCAAGGGAAATCAGAATGGCAATGCTACTTTGCACAGTAAATGATGAGTAAATCTAAGACAGATTCAGTCAGTGTGTCCGGGGTTGGGATTACTTGAACTGACCCCTATTCCACCTATATCAGGCTTCAAGGATATTGTATCGCACAGCGCGTTGAAGCAAGACTCCATTTTGCCGTCTGCAAAGAAACCAGGACTAGTGCAGCCGTAAGGAACCAGATCCTGTTTCACTACCTGCCGAGTGCTCTGACCTATAAAGCCCTAGAAAGCAAAGTGTCATATTCTTCTGGACTTTCTCCCATACTTCGAGACTTGCACAGACCTCATCAGGTTTGGCGAGGGTAATGCCTTGGAAGGGTCCAGGATATTTTCGTGAAAGAAATATATCATACTGTTGGCAATAGGAAGCGAGAATCCCACAATTGACAAGATTCACTGGCATCGCCGGATCAAATAGTAGACTATCATCCAAGCAGATTTGCGAACAGTTGAGCCCCGAATGGCCGGACTTCCCATCATTGCAATCGGCGATCTCGGGAAGGCTGAATTCGGCGCCTGCCATTGCCCCAAGAATGTATTTCGTCACCAAACTTAAAGTAACGGAGATATTGAGAAATTAACAGACACCACGATCGCTTATAGTCTCGGGATTTTGAAGCTAGAGAAAGTCTCAAAGTCGGAGGAATTTTTTAAAAGAGATTGAAACTCTAGAACTCTTGAAGAGTTCGCCCTTTGGCTGTCAGAAGTGTTTGAGCTGCTTGTGGCTGCCTTTGATTTGGCCAAATCAGAATGAGAGGAGGCGAGTCCTTGTTCAATGATACAAGGTAGAATTGCTGAGGTACATTTTGTCGTAACAGGCTACGAGCACGTTTAAAAGTACATGCTCGTACCCATAAAAGAGGACATTCTCCAAGATGAGTTTCCTGTTGTAAAGTACGATGACACAGGTTGCTACCTAACGCTAGTCAGCTTAAACCAAATAATCTGCGCCTGTAGCTATCAGCTACCCTCTTTGTAGTTCTAGTTGTGATAGGTTGACAAGCTAATCTTGCATGAGGCTAAAATCCTACTACAATGGAGTATGCAGTACGATGACGACGATCTTGCCCCAATTCTTCAGGGCTCCGGCACTACCCACAGTTTCACAGCCTTGCCCTCAGATCTCTCGAAAAATTTCCCTCATCTCCTTCA